GAAGAAGAGCTGGCAGGAGGCGAAGAAGACCTGCCTGCGGAGCGGGGGGGACCTGGTCAGCATCCACACCCTCTCCGAGCTGGAGTTCGTCACCAAGCAGATCAAGCAAGGTAAGGGGGAGCCCGCTGTGTCAGCGGCACCCTTCCCATCCGATTTTAGGGTCCACGGAAAGGTCGCTTCTGTGTGATGGGGGCTGCAAAGTTTGAATTAATTGTGGCTGTGAAGGGAGCGGAGACCCCAGGCTGGGAGGTGATGTGTTGCTTGGAGGAGCCCGTGCCCCGGGTGCATCCTCCATCCAGCAAATGTAAAAGCTGTTCCCGGGAGCCTGCAGTGCTGGGGAAGAAAATATGCAGCTGCAGCTGGGAATGGCACTAGTCCCAGTCGGTTAATGTAGAAAAAGGTGGGAAAAAAAGTCCTGCTGGGCTTGCTGGAGGAGGCTGCACCTCTTACTGCTAAATCTGCCCAGGATGTGAGTGTCCCCCGCAGCAGGTCAAGCGAAGGACACCTGCCTATGGCGTCCCAGGTTTCTCTTTCCAGTTCTGGCTTCACCCAGGTGTAATTGGGTTGAAGTTTCCCATGTCGGGATGTGTTGGAGCTGGGATGGTACTTGGGAAGTTTCAGCCCGAGCAATCACGCGGTGGTATGGGGGAGCACCCGTGCCACCATCCTCCAGACCTCGCTTGTGCCACCCCTCATTAGGGTCACCCTCAGCTCAGGTTTTGCTGTTCCCATACGAGTGCAGCCCCTCTGGCCAAATTAAGCACTCCCATGAGCCCACAGCCTGACCCTGCTCCGCAGAGGAAGAGCCTGACAGCGAAACCCACCGCAGGGACATCGGGGGACCCAGACTTCAGCGGGGACCAGGGAGGGGCTGGGGGCTGAAGGGAGTTAATGCTGAGGGAGGCAGGAGCCATAGGAGTGTGGAGGAAGGAGGGGGATGTGCTGGCACCCCCAGGCCGGGACCAGACTGGGATGGGAAGGAATGGTTGAAAACCATTAGCTCACTGGACCTGAGCCTGCGGGTCCAGACTTTTACCATTCTGCTGCTGCCAGCACCTCTCTGAAAACTGCTGGCAAATGTCCCTGTGTTTCCCCCTCTGCAGGTCTGTCCTTGCTGCAGCGGGGCTTTGGCAGGTGCTTTGCAGAGACGCGGTCCCATCACAGGGGCTCATATCAGGGCGGGGGGTTCTGCAAGGTTTCAGCCAGGCAGAGGGAATTTCACCCACTGACCCTCCTGTCTCGGCAGACGTGGAGGAGCTCTGGATTGGCCTAAATGACCTCAAGCTGCAGATGAACTTCGAGTGGTCGGATGGGACGCCCGTGAGGTTCACCTACTGGCACCCCTTCGAGCCCAACAACTTCCGTGACAGCCTGGAAGACTGTGTGACCATCTGGGGACCGGTGAGAGCCCGGGGTGGGCGCTTCATCCTGCACCTCCGCAGAGAGCCCTGCAGCATCCTCATGGCCAGGGAAGGGATACCTCGGGGAGCATCTCCGACTGGGGTTGAACACGTCTCATCCCGGCTGTTGGGAAGGGAGGGATCCAGCACAGCATCCTTGGGGATTTGATGTAGGGAAGGAAAGTCTGTGGACCCAGCGTGGGGGTGGATGGGCTGGGGAATTCGCCGGGCTGTTGGCTAGGCTCAATCCTGCTCTTCTCCACCCTGTGCAGGAAGGGAGGTGGAATGACAGCCCATGCAACCAGACCCTGCCATCCATCTGCAAAAAGCCCGGTCGGGTGAGCCAGGAGAAGGAGGAGGATGACCATGGGTGCCGAAAGGTGAGGGACACCTGGGGCGGGAGGTGGCTCTGGCTGCTCCACGGCTCTGCCTGATGCTTGGGGCTTCGGGGTCATGGGGGACCTCTCCCCAAAACCATTTCAGGGAGCCCTGATAAGCAGCACCCAGAGCTGCAGGTCTGTGCCCAGGGGCTGCCGGCATGACAGAGCATCCCGGGACTGCTGAGCCCCTCACTTCTGTGGTTGCATGAGGCTGTGGGAAGAAACTGGGACAAAGCGCATGTCTCCATCGTCCAAGATCCTCCCCTTGGGCTGGCTTGGTTGCCAGCAGGGATGGCAACCAATTTTTTTTTCCCTTGCCTCTCTCCATGCCAGAACTCGGCAGCAAAGCTGCTCCATGCAGGAGCCCACTGGGACGGAGGCAGCTGCCGGCCCCACAATGGCAGGCTGCGTTCTCTGGGCAGGATACAGGCGTTTGGGGGACACAGCCACCAAACCGCTCACCCGGACCGAGCTCTGAGCTCTGGGCAGGCTTAGTTCTCTGGGCACGATACAGGCGTTTGGGGGACACAGCCACCAAACCGGCGGGTTCTCACCCGGACCGAGCTCTGCCTCAGTTTCCCCAGCTGTCGAGCAGGGCTGAGGCTGCCCTGTTCCCACGCTTTCTGGGAAGTCGCTTTTGTGCCTCTTTGCAAAGTCTTCGAGCAGTGAGCCTGGCATCGCCGCCGCTCTTGAACATCTCCCAGCGTTTCAGAGCAAGCCAGCGCGCGCTCGCGCTTGGACTAGCAAGCAGCCCCTCCGGGCCGGCTCCCAGAGGTGCTGCCGGGCTGCGCAGGCGGCTCCTCCCAGGTCTTTACCCAGTCACAGCAGAGACAAACCCCAGCAGCCGCTTGGCTCTGCATGAGCTCAGGGGGAGCACGGCAGCCGGGCGAGCTGGCACGCTGGGCCAGATTCGGGGGCTGCCAGCCAGAGCCGGAGGAGCCCCGGTGTCGGCAGGTGCTGGGAACAAGGTGCTCGGTGGCAATGTGCCACCGCCACCTGTCCGCTTGTCCCCGCAGCAGTCCTGAGGACTAATAGGGTGTCCCCATGCAGATTGAACTCCCTCCTGCCGCTCCAGCCACAGCCTTACCCTGGCCCTGAGTGCCTAGCAGAGAGATGTACGTGCTGGGAAACAAACTGGGAGTGATAAATGAACTGAGGAAAGACCTTTTCCCATTCTTCCTCCCGCTCCTCATCCTCAATGGGGCCATTTGCCACTCAGATGCAGAGGCTGATGGAGAGGAGGCAGCATCTTGCTTGGAGGATTGGCCCTGGTCCTCTCTGGCCACCGTGCTGGTTTTTCCTGGTGGCTTTGCTGCTTCTTCTCCCTCTTTCCAACCTCCCTTTTTGTTTGGAACAGCCTTAAAGGAAGCAATGGGAGATGGAGGTTTGGGCAATGGGGAAGGCAGAGCCAGACAGGGATGCAGGGGCACGCCGGGATCGGGAGCTGGAGGCAGCGGTTGGGGTTAACAGTCCCATCCTGACCCCTTTTTGGATCACAGGGGCTTGCTGTGGCGCTCGGTGTGTAGGAGAGCACCCGTGTGGTTTTAGTGATGCTGAGGCCCAGGGCTGGTTGGGGATCCCTCTGGGGCCGTCCAGACCCCTCTGGGGACATCAGGGACCTGTGCTGTCCCATGCTGGGCCCCTCTCCTGGCTGCTCAGGGGCGTCCATGCTGTTCCCGGTGGGCCCAGCTGGTGGGTCCATACCTGGGTTTGCTAACTTTGGGGAAAGGCTGCAGGAGCAGGAACTTGGGGAAAAAAAATGGGATTTGGGGTCTCCCAAAGCTGCTCTCCTGCTTCCCTCCCCACCATGCTGATGCTGCAGATGGCACATGTCCCCCACTGTCCTTCCAATGCCTGGGGACCCAGGGGTAAAACCCCGGTGATGCTTCCTATCATGCCAGGAGGGTCCCTGAGCCTGGGGCCACTTGCCTTCCCCGCTGAGTCCCTTCACCCTTCCCACCCCAGCTTGCTCTTCCATCATGTGTGTGTCCTTTCTCGCAGATGAGCCCCCATGTCCCTCCCCACGCCGCCGCTGCCAGCCCTGGGGCCGCCCCGCTCCCTGCTCTGGCAGAAAACAGGCGCTATTGTGTCTCCAGCCCCGGAGAGGCTCCAACATCAACAAGGCGGGGGATTAAAGCAGGCTGCGGTGGGACTCACTCTGGATTCAGCCCTGCAGCATATAGAGGAGGATTGTGTTCCCCTCCCCGCGCCCTGGCCGGGGCTGGACATTGGCAGGGAGAGCCATTTCCCCGGCTTTGAAGCTGCCTGGGTGTTTGTTTTCCTTGCAGCCATGTCCTCTGGGGCCGGGGGCTTGTTAGAGCTCAAAGCTGAGCAGGGTCGAGCTGGGGAGGCCGGGGGCAGGAGACCTCCCAGGAGAAGGCAGAGGTGGTGGCAGGGGATGTGGGACGTTGCTCTCACCCCCGGGGTTCACTCCCATCCTTCTGGCGGGGGCTGGGGTGAGCGGTGGCGGACGTCCCCTGTCACCCATCCCCAGGGCTGGAAGTGGCACAGCCCCTCCTGCTTCTGGCTGGGCGAGGACCGCGTCCCCTACAGCGACGCCCGCAAGATGTGCTCCGACTACGGCTCCACGCTGGTCACCATCACCAACAGGTCAGTGCCGTGCCGGTGGTGGTGGGTTTGCCCCAAAATGAGCCCCCCAAGGAGAGGTGTGGCCCGACAGCTGGGCTTTGCACGCAAGGGCTTGGAGCATCGTGGGCTGCTTGGCATCTCAGCTCGCAGCATCGCCTGCTCTCTCCACCCCTCCAGGTTCGAGCAGGCCTACGTCAGCAGCCTCATCTACGGCTGGGACGGGGAGTATTTTTGGACAGCACTGCAGGATATCAACGAGACGGGTGCTTTCCGCTGGCTGAGTGGTGACGAGGTCATGTACACCCACTGGAACCGCGATCAGCCCGGTAAGGGGGCGGCCGTGGGTGGGATGGGGACGTCCCCTCCATGCAGGGCAGGTGCTGGCTCTGCCGCCTGGCACGGTCCGACCCTAAGGCTGGCATCCTCCCTGCTCCCGTGAGCGCTCCAGGTTACAACAAGGGCGGCTGCGTGGCCCTGGCCACTGGCAGCTCCATGGGGCTATGGGAGGTGAAGAACTGCAGCACCTTCAAGGCCAAGTACATCTGCCGGCAGAACCTGGGCACCCCAGTCAACCCCGAGCTGCCCAGTCCCTACCCCACACCCAGCCTTGCTGCCGCCTGCCCCCCGGGATGGAACTCCGACTCCAAGCTCCGTCACTGCTACAAGGTAAGGGGTGCTAGGGGGGCTTGCCCTGGCTGTTGTGGGGGTGCATGTGCCTCCCCACTGGTGCAGGGGGGGTGAAGGAGCATGTTTTGGTGCTTGCAAAGGGCAGCCTGGACCCCACGAGCCGGGTTTGGGCTGAGTGGTGGCAGCGTGCCCCAGGATGCCACTGCCTGCGGCGTGGGGACGATGCTCTGCTTCTCTCCCAGTGCTGAGTCCCCTCCGCTGCGGGTTCCTCCCTCCCCAGGTGTTCAACTTTGAAAAAGTGCAAGAGAAGAAGACGTGGATTGCGGCGCAGGAGTTTTGCCGGGAGCTGGGGGCCCAGCTGCTCAGCCTGGGCAGCTACGAGGAGGAGCACTTCGTCGCCAACACCCTCAACAAGATTTTTGGGTGAGAGGCTGGCTGCGCCAGTGCATGTCCCGCTGCCCGAGTGTGCTTGGCACGAGCCCACATCCCTCCCCGTGCCCTGGCACACGTGGCTGGGTGGATGGGGCATGGACGTGGCTCTCTGGGCACGCGCTTGTGTGCAGAAGGTGCATCAGTTGGTGTGGCTACACCAAAGAGAGGTTGTGGGCGAAGTGCAGGAAATACGGTGTAATTTGGGGATGGAGCTTGGGTTTAAAACTCCTTCAGCCCTGAGCCGGCGTGCCTGTTTTCTGAGCTCCTGCCTTAGGGTGTTGTGGGGACAGCGGGCTTTGAAAACAAACAAAAAAAGGCCAGATTATAAATATATATTTGTATATAAGTATAAAAACCTGTGGTTTGGAGAGGGGTTGTGTTTCTCACCCTACCCCCTGGCTCCCCGCAGGGAGTCGGAGCCGGAGCTCCACGAGCAGCACTGGTTCTGGATCGGCCTGAACCGGCGGGACCCCACGGGGGACAGGAGCTGGAGGTGGAGCGATGGGCTGGGGGTGAGTCTGGGGGGGGTTCGGCAAGATTACTCCAGTTGGCATTTGGGGTGCAGGGGGGGCAAATCCAGCGCTGGTGGAAATGCCCAACACCGCCCATCTCTCTCGACCCCCAGTTTTTCTACCACAACTTTGACCGCAGTAACTACGATGACGATGACATCCGGACCTGCGCGGTGCTGGACCTGGCCTCCCTGCAGTGGATGCCGATGCAGTGCGAAGCCCAGCTGGACTGGATCTGCAAACTGCCCAAAGGTACTTGGTGAAGAGGCCCCCAAACCTTTCAGCTTTGAATAACCTGGCAGAGGATGGGCTGCGGGATGGTGGAGTGGGTGCAGGGGGACCCTCTGTCACCTCCCTTCCGAAGGTTGCACTTTTAAGGGAGGATGAGTCCTAATTCAGGATTCGGCAGGGCATCTCGCCCTTGGAGCCCGCGGGCGGTTTGCAGGCAAGCATCAGCGGGAGCATCCCAGCCCTGCATCCCACTGACAGCCTCTCCTTGCCCTTTCGCCAGGTGCCGACGTGAAGGAGCCGGAGATCACGACCCAAGGTGCGTTGGCCACGGCTGTGTGTCCGTCCGGTGTAGACCGTCCTCCCCAGGCATCTGCCACTCCGTCGCATGCACGAGCGAGGCGCGGTCCCTGCGGGGCATCCCTGCAGCGTTATCCGGAGGAGAATGGATCCCTCATAGGAGGGAGGGGAGCCCGGGCATCCTGCTGCCCCTCGCTGCACAACGTGGCTGCAGGGGCTACCTGCAGGGACCTGGCAGGATCAGGCCCCTCAGCTGCAGGAGAGGGGCAAAAGCAAAGCAGCCCAATGTGTGGGGGACCGAGGGACAGGGTGGTGGGTGCTGGTGGCTGCGGCAGGGGGGGGCACAGCCCCGGCATGACACTGGTCCCTGCCTGCAGGCAGCAAAGAGTGGGTGAAGTACCAGGAGGTACAAGTTCTTCGAGCACCGCACCAGGCACAGCCACGGCATGACACTGGTCCCTGCCTGCAGGCAGCAAAGAGTGGGTGAAGTACCAGGAGGCCGAGTACAAGTTCTTCGAGCACCACTCGACGTGGGTGCAGGCGCAGCGCATCTGCAGCTGGTTCCAGGCGGAGCTGGCATCGGTGCACGGCGAGGCCGAGCTGCGTTTCCTGGGCCAGAACCTGAAGAAGGTACCAGGGGGATGGGGACCTCCCCGGGCACCGACGGGCTCCACTGCCTCCCCAGGCTGCTCCCTCCCTGGCTTCTTTCACTCTTTGCTGGAGGGACGTTATCTGGGGGCGGCCAGGCTCTGCTGGGGTCAGAATGGGTCTCGTGCGGTGGCAGCAGGTCCCGGTGCCTGGGTGCGGGTTTGGGGCTCAGTAAGGTGATGCTTTTTGCCGCGGTGCAAGCTGCAGGGGGGCTGCCCGGTCCCCATGCCCAGGGTGGCCACGGTTGTCCCCAAGGACACCCGGTCCCTGCAGGGCACTGACATGTCCTCTTTGGGCGTGCAGTTCTCCAGGGGCCAGGAGCAGCACTGGTGGATCGGGCTGCACACCTATGAGAACGACGGGAGGTTCAAGTAAGTTGGAGACCGAGCCACTGCATCCCTGCACATCCCCATGCCACCATCCCCAGCTCTCAGAGCACTGTGGCTTAGCGCCTGCATCTCAGGGGTCTCATCCTGGGGTGCTGGGATGGAGGTTCCTCAGCCAAGAGAGGGCAGTGGTGGGGCATGCTCCCAGTTAGGGCGTGCAACTGGTCCCATTCGCCAAGTCACCGCTCAGCCTCGTGCTCCCGCCGGTGCCTTTCCCAGGTGGTCTGACGGGTCCCTCCTCAACTTCGTCTCCTGGGCACCAGGCAAGCCCCGGCCCATCAACAAGGACAAGAAGTGTGTGTACATGACGGCCAGCAGAGGTGAGGGGCCGGATCTGGCCATGCTAGGGCTCTGGAGCGACTGGAGGCCACTGGCTGAGCAGAGACACCCCTACCCCAGTGTGGCGGGGGGGTCATGCCCAGCCTGTCCCTCCCTGCAGAGGACTGGGGGGACCAGAAGTGCCTGACAGCGCTGCCCTACATCTGCAAGCGGAGCAACGGGACAGCCGTGAAGCCTTCCCTCCCACCGCTGCCCGCTCCCGCGAGCGGGGGCTGTCCCCGTGGCTGGTTTCCCTTCCTCAGCAAGGTATGGAGGGGACGGAGAGGGGACAGCCGTCTCCTTGGGGAGGAACGCGTGCACATGTTTTGGGGGAAATGCTGGGGGCCGCATGCATGGGGATGCGGGAAAGGTGCACCGCAGGGTGCGGGTGCAAGAGAGCATGGGGGGCTGACGGGGTCGAGGGTTGCAAAGGGGAGAAGGATCGTTGGGGCAGAATGGGGCTGCAGAGGGTGGGTGAGTGGGGAGGGTGCAGGGCTTGGGGTGGGGGGGCGGCTGCACCCTCTGGACCATCCCTTGCCCCCACCTGTGCAGTGTTTCAGCTTCAATGGCCACGACAAAGCTGAGATAGTAAAGTGGCCAGAGGCAAAGCAGGCATGCGAGAGGCAGGGTGCCGTCCTGGCCACCATCGCCAGTCCCCTGGAGCAGGGTAGGTCCCCCCCACCCCCACCGGCCCCGCTGGCTTGGGACCTGCTGGGGGTGGTCCTCAGCGCCTTGCCCGTCGCTTGCAGCTTTCATCACATCCATGCTGCCCAACATCTCCTTCGACCTCTGGATCGGCCTCCACGATGCCCAGAGGGAGTTCCAGTGGGTGGAGGGCGAGCCGCTGCGGCACGTGAGCTGGGCGCCTGGCGAGCCCTCGGGCTGCAGCGCCTCCAGCCCCCGCGCCAAGCCGGTGAGCGAGACCGCTCCGTAGCATCCCCCATCCCCTGGGAAGGTCTCAGCCTCGTGTCCCACCATGAAGATGGAAGGTTTTAGTATGCCGGGGTGGTTCTCCGAAGGCAGAGCAGGATCTGGCCCTGTGGGGTGGGGGTCCCTGGATGGGGGTGGGATGACGATGCTAAGGGCAGTGCTGACCTTGCGGCTTGGCTGTGCAGACCAACTGCGTGGTGGTGTGGCACGGCTCGCCCCCCCACTTCACGGGGCGCTGGGACGACCGGAACTGCCTGGAGGAGAAGCACGGCTACATCTGCCAGCGGAGCATAGGTAGTGGGGGACGGGGGGGACAGCCCCAATCTCTGCTCGCTGGGGACCTGTCACCACTGCCCCGGTGCCCCATGCTGTGCCAGGGAGCTTGGAGCGATGGGCTCAGCTTGGGGGGAGCTCAGGACGCTGGGGGAGCTTGGGACATGGGCTTGACCTGGGGGGGCGTCCCTGGTCCCAGCAGTTTCTGGGGCACCCCCGAACCTGTGCACACTAGCCTGGCTCTGTGTGTCCCACAGGGACATGCATCCTGATGGACAGCCCCAAGGTGGGGATGGCACCGGGGTGTCACTGCTCGTCACTCCTGGGGATGTGGCCTCTCTGCCCTCCCTGGTTGCACCAGGATGTCCCCAGGTGCCTGTGCCCAGTGCACAGTGCTGCCAGGGACACCCCAGCTTGGGCGGGGATGGACAAGGGGGTGAGCCTCTGGGATGCAGGAGTGTCCTTCGTGCCCTCTGACTATGTCTCTTTGCTCCCCCAGACCCGTCCCTCAGCCCCGCGCGGACGCCGTACCCCCCCTCGCCCACCGGCACCCTCTTTTACCACAACAGCACTTACCGCATCCTGCAGAAACCCCTCAGGTGGCACGAGGCGCTGCTGCTCTGCGAGACCCTCAACGCCACCCTGGCCACCATCCCTGACCCCTACAGCCAGGCTTTCCTCACCCAGGCTGTCAGCAGCCTCCGGGCTCCGCTCTGGATCGGGTTGGCCAACGATGAGGTGAGGGAAGCAGGCAGGCGCCCGGGGCAGGGGTCCCCCAGGGTGTTGTGGAAGCCCCCCAGCTTCTCCTCCCCTTGGCTCTCCAGGGAGGCCGAAGCTACTCGTGGCTGACGGAGGAGAACCTCTTCTACGCCAACTGGCAGGACGGGGAGCCCCAGCAAGTTGCCGGCTGCTCCTACATGGACGCGGACGGGAGCTGGCGCACGGCTGGCTGCGACACCAAGCTGCAGGGGGGCATCTGCCAGCTCCGAGCAGGTGCTGGCCGGGGGGGGCTCGGTGGGAGGCGGACTGGGAGGGGAGCACCCAAGGGTTGGAGATGGCATCCCACTGGGGACCTTCTGGAGCTCTGTAGAGGCAGGAGGAATAACTTCACAGTAGCCTAACGCATCTAACAAGGAAACACATTTTTAGTCTGTTACCTGAACCTGTCTTTAAAATAGCTCTAGTTAACACAATTATTGTTGCCGTTGAATCTAATGGTGATTAAAACAGAGGTAGCTGGCCTCCACTAGTTACCTATCAGATGCTCTCTGACTTACGTCAAGTGCGGGGCTGGGTGCCCCAACGTGCTGTGGGACCCTGACACCCTGTGCCCCCCCACCCACCCCCAATGCACCGTGTGCTCCCCAGGTGCCCCCCGCACGCACAAGTGGAGCTACAGCGGCAGCTGCCCCAAGTCGCTGGAGGACTCGGTCTGGATCCCCTTCCGGGACCACTGCTACACCTTCCACATGGAGATCACCCTGGGGCAGAAAGACGCCATGAGGAGGTGCCAGAAAGGTACGGGGGGGCTGTGGTGGCCGGAGGGGGGTGACACACCTTTGGAAATGGAAGAGGATGCCTGTGGATACATGAGGGACCCCTGTCCCTGTGCCCATGCCCAGCCTTGGTCAGCCATCATCTCCTCCTTGCTGTTACGTGTTGGGGTTCCCCAGCTCCCATGTGGTTTGTGCATGGTTCTTCAGCTTTGTCCTCTCGGGCACTGCTGCTCCCAAGCTCCATCCTCCAAGCTCTGGGCTCTTCCCTGACACTCCTTCCTCCGCAGTTGGTGGTACAGTGTTGTCCATCCAGGACGAGATGGAAAATGTCTTCGTGTGGGAGCACCTCCAGGCGTACGAGGGCCCGTCCAAGGGTGCCTGGCTGGGCATGACCTTCAACCCCAAAGGTACAAAGGAAGGAACGAGGTTTTATCCCCCTTAGGCAACACCATGAATTCCCACCAGGTCTGTGGTGAGCAGAGGAAGCCCTTGGTGGTGGCACCAGTGTGGGGGGCTCATGCCATGGTGTGACCAGGAGCCCCATTGGCTCAGGCCATGCTGGACGTGCCATGTGTGTCCTCCTCTGGCTTGGTGGGATGGAAGTGATGGCTTTCAAGCCCAGAGCCTCCTCCAAGGTGCTGGAGCCTGCAGGGTTCAGGACCTGCAGCCCCTGGTCCTCCCTGTCGCCCCATCACACCTCCCCATCGCCCCATCACACCTCCCTGTGCTTTCTGAACTGGGGTAAAGACGGGGTGTCCCCTTCAGCCTCTCCAGACCTAATTCTTCCATTTCCCAGGTGGCACCTTGGTTTGGCATGACAACACTGCCGTGAACTACTCCAACTGGGGCCAGCACGACACGGGGCCCAGCATGCTCAGCCAGAACAGCTGCTACTGGATCCAGAGCAGCAACGGCGTGTGGCGCCTGGGCTCCTGCACCAACGTCACCATGGGGGTCATCTGCAAGATCCCTCGAGGTAGGGCCCCCCCGGCTCCCCGAGGTGCCTGGGCTGGCCAGGCAGGGTGCTGCAGGGCAGAGCTCTGTCCCGCTGGCAGCACTGGCTACATGTGTTGGGCAATTCCACTGTAGGGGGGAATAGTAGGGGCTGGTGCTGGGGTCTGCAGGCCCTCACTGGGCTCAGTGGAGCTTGGGTGGGCTGTGCACGTCTCAGTGGCTGGGTCAGCACCTCGGGGCAGGATGAGGCTGATGGGGTGGTGATGGAGCAGAACCAGAGGACCCCCGCAGCTGTGCATCACCCAGCGTCTGCGCGGTGCGGGGCTGGGAGCAGCAGAGGACCGTGGGGCTGGTGGTGCCGGTGCTGGGAAGAGGGGAGGGTGCTGTGGCCGCGCACTCATCTGTCTGTGTTGCCGTTGCAGTGGAGGAGAGCAGCTTTTCCAGGGCAGGTGAGTGGCACTGTTAGCCTGGGCACAGCACTGGGACCAGGAACTGGCACTGGGGGGCCGTGCTGCAGCCCAGGTTTTATCAATAACCAGAGAAATGGTGTTTGTGGGTGGGAAATCCCATTCCCAGGTGGCTTTGGCCCTGGGTTAGGACTCCCCAGCAGCACGAGCCATCCCTCCATGGAGGAGTGTGTCTGGCCAGCCCCTTGCTGGGCTCTCCTGCCCTTGCCCATGCTGCCTGGCCGGGCTGGGGGATGGATACTGCATCTGGTGGTGGGATCCCAAAGATCCATCCCAGGCAACTGTCAGATGTTCACACACATCAGGAGCAACCTAGAGAGGCTGCCCAGCCCTGGGAGCTCTGCCACGGGCAGGATGCCCCCAAAACACCAAAGCAGACTCCAGTCCTGTCCCGCTCTGACCCATCCTGCCCGAGAGCCCCTGTCCGGCTGGACACCCACCAGCCAAAGCCCCTCTTGTGGGATGAGACAGCGGGAGACGGCAGGCCGCATTTCATCGGCCTTTTCCCCTCCTTGTAGCTCTGCCAGAGAACACAACGGCCATCACGGTGGTGGTGCTGTCGACGCTGGCACTGTGCACCATGCTGGGCATCGCCGTCTACCTGTACAGGCGTCGGCGGAGCGCGGAGCGGGGTGCCTTCGAGAGCGCCCGGTACAGCCGCACCACCTCCAACCCCAGCGAATCTGCCGAGAAGAACATCCTGGTGTCGGACATGGAGATGAACGAGCAGCAAGACTAACGGCAGGGGGGACGCTGGGGACGGGGACCTGGGGAGGGGGGAGGATGGAGAGCATCACACACGCTATCCCCACGGCGCACGGGGCAGGGGCGGCAGTGGGACCGTTGCAGCAGGGCAGGGAGAGGGGCTGGGGTCGGGGTCCGGCCAGGTGGGCTAGAGGAGGGAGCTGGGGTCCCTCCTGCCCCGTGGGTCGCTGCCGCCACTTCCAGGCTCGTCCCCAGCTTCCAGGAGTTTGCCTGCAGCAGCCGTGGAGGCAGTTTCAGGGCTAAAATGTTTTGAGGAAAGTTGTCCCCCCAGTTCAAGAGCTTTCTGGTGGCGTGAACAGGCTCTGAGACACCTTCCCCTTGGGAGAAGGCAAGTGCGGGCATTCAGGGCCCTGTGACGGGCTTGTTCCCCCCACAGCAGCTGAGCTGGTGTCCGAGAAGACATCCTCCTGGGCAAGAGGTCTCTAAAGCCGATCTACCTCCCCTCCGCGCGCAGTGCGAGGGCCCTGCCAGCCCCCCAGCCCCGCCGCCGTGCCGCTCATCTCCCCCTCCTCGGCCTCATCCCCCACCTCTGGCAGAAAGCAGCGGAGATGCCGTCGCAGCAATCCGAGCATGGACCCCCCTGGCATCAGTGATGGGACCCCCTCTCCTCCCTGGCATATCCCTAGGGCTGCATCCAGTCCTGGCGAGGCTGCTTCTGCTCCTCCCAGGCTGGCAGCCAGAGCCCGCCCTGCTTTCTGTTACTTTGGTGTGTGTCCCCCCCAAATAACTGCACGTGATAGCACCGGAGCAAACTGCTGGCCAGGCCCCTCCCCGGCGGGAGCATCCTCGGCACCCCAGGCTCCGCTGGAGGAGCTGGGTGCCGCGGCACAAGGCACTGCCGGAGACCCGGGGCCACCCTTCGTCCCTTGCCGGGCAGGGACAGTGTGGGGCTGGGGTCACTTGCCGCTGGTTGCCTTGCTCAGGCCAGAAGGACGAGCGTCAGGGCTGCAGGGTGGGGAGCGATTTGGAAGCTTTGGTGGTTACCTTGAAAGTTTGGTGGTTGGTTGGTTTTTTTTTTTTTTAAGGAAACGATAGCTTTTTTTGCTATACTGTATTGAGTGCGTGCTGAATATATACGTTCTTTCACACAGCTGGCTGGGGTGTTTGTGGTTGCCTGTTTTATGTGTAGGGTGTAGCGGAGGAGGAGGAGGAGGAAGGCAGTGCGGGGCTAAGCCCCTGCCTGGCTTTAGAGCTGTGCAGGAAGGAGCAGGGGTGCCCCGGGGCTGAGCCGTCCTCCTCCATGAGCTGCCTGCAGCAGCATCCCCGGTGCCGGGGTCGGGACAGAGGATGCCTGCAGACAGCGAGAGACATTCCGACCCCGAGGGGGGTTCCCTGCTGGGAATGGGACCCAAAGAACCCCTTAGACCTCTGAAGTGGGGCGGCACAGCCCCTACCAGAGACATTGCATTTAGCCCTCTGCCTCCGAGGCTTGAGTTGGGTTTTTTTTTTGTCGTGACGACAACGGGAACTAGCTAATTTTTGTTACTCTCCTTTTTGACACCTGTGTGAATTTTAAAATCTGTTGATTTCACTTAAGCTGGACATTAAGTGTTTAAGAAACTGTTGGGGGTGGGATGGGGGAACAATGGATCGTTGGGGTTTTGTTTACTTTTTGGCAATGTCCAAAAGCCGCCATGACGTTTCAGGGCGAGCGAGAATCTGGAGCACACAGAGCTGCCCCGGCTCCGTTTCTCTCTCTTGGCTTTCTTTGCATTTATTTTCTGAGGTCCTTTCTGGTTTGGAGCTGTTGATTTTGTCCACGGGCCCATGGCTTCCTGACGTGGGTGCTGGATCCTGAAAAGCCGAGCGTGAATTCCTCCTCATCCCCAGCGGGCGTTGATGTACCAAGCAGGAAGCTTGGAGTGCGCTGGCATCCCTGCTGCAGGGATGGTTGGAATAGCAGGAGGGATGCTGAGCTGGAAGCTGTACTGCTGGTGGGGATGGAGGTCCTGGATTAACTCCTCCTAGATGAGCAGAGCTGTTAGGAAGTCCTAAAAAAATAAAGGTTGAGGTTAGGATTGGTGGGAAGGAGTGGGCGAAGAGTGGTGCTGAGGTCGAGGGGTGCAGCCGGGCAGGGTTGGGGCTCGTTTGGAGAAGTGCATGAGACCCCAGGCAAGGTGGGCGCAGGGAAGGACGGGGGGTACGGCTGGGATGGTGGTGAGTTATCGGCGCCGGAGGAAAGCCCGTGCCGTGGAGAGGCATGGAGTGCTGGGGGTTAGGAAGGAGGTCCCGTAGCCATGCGGGAGGGTTCGTGCCTGGCTTTCACACAGCCCTACCTGGGAACACCTTGTTTAAGAAAGTTTCTTTTTTTTTTTTTTTTTTCCCTCCTTGATTAATTTGTTCTCTTTTCTTCTTCTCCTTTGCTTTCAAGAGAATAAATCTGTACAGTCTAGGGGAAATTTTGTATGAGCAGTGTTTTGTCAGCTGTCAGCAGTGATCAGGATTACGGGGAAAACGCATATATGGTTAAGTGGTATCTCCTATCACCATTAGAATAATTTGAAAAATTGCTAGTTTTGCATTTTTTTTACTCTCTGTGGTTTGTAAGATCCTTTTAGAAGCTTGGAAATAAAATTTCCTTCCCCACCTATTTTCTTCCTTTTTTTTTTTTTTCCTTTTATTTGGGAAAAACAAAACTTGTCCTTCCCTGTGTCCCTAACAAGTAGCGAACATAAAGCTGAAATTACCCCTACCTGTCTCTAGCAGAGGAGGCTCAAAGGCTGCCCAGGTGAGGGGGGGGGGGTGTATTAATTCCCGGCGTTGCTTGGTTGCGTGTCCCGTGGGTATGGTGGCTCTCCTCTGCTGGTGGTTGTTCAGAAGAGTCGGCTGGAGAGAGAAGATGAAGGAGAATGGGCAACGTTTACTTGCGGATGACTCCTGAGTTCAAGGAAGATGTCAGATTGAGCAGGGACCTTGGAAAACCACTGAAACTTCTGCTTCTCACCAAGGGTTGGGAGATGGGGCTGTAATCCAGCTGAACCTGCTCCATCCCATAGCTCGTACCGGAGCAGTGAACAGCAGATGCGACCATCGTAGCACCGAACACCCTGGCCAGGCTGCGGCGTTCCTAGGCACTGCCGGTGGAGGAAGACTGTGGGGGCGAGCTGCACCAAAGCCGTTGCACAAGGGCACTTTTCCTGAAGCAGCGAGGTCGGCAGCGTCCTGCTGGCCCAGAGCATGGGCATCGCGTCGGGGGCAGCCACCGGCAGCGTTTCCGCACACGAGGCTTCCCCCTGCTCGCACCGCGTTCGCTCAGGGTGCTGTTTTCTCGCCTCCCTCTGCTTCAGGGCTTCCCCCCATCCCTTCGGTAGTCTGGGGCTACCCGCACCCACCGCTCCCTTCCCTGGGGGATAGGCCCAGCACCCTCCCCGCCCCCCCCCGCGCTGATGTGGTTGGGAGAGATGAGATCTCAACGAGGTTTCCCTCAGGTTTGCCGGGGCCATTTGGTTTTGCCTTTCATTTGGTGAAGAGCACAGCACAGGCGCTTGGAGCAGAAGCTCTCAGGATGCCTTTGAAGGAACAGATGATTTTTCTCTTCTTTTGTTTTTCACCCGAGAGGTGAGAGGAGCTGGCCGGGGGGCAGCGAGGGCTGCTCCGTTTAATTGCAAACAGCAGTGGAAATAATGCTGAGCGACACCGCACTGCAGCGGGGGAAAGGACACTCGAGTCATCCTCGTTCTGGAGCTTAGACGCTTTCAGGGTGACCTGACCTGAATTCAGGTATGCGCTTTCTCTTCAAAGGAAGCCCAGTGAAACTTGCACTGCAGATTTTAAATAGTGAAGCGCAGAATGCACTTTTTTTTCTTTTTTAATTTAAAATAAACACAGCCTTTGGAGAAAATAGTAGTTTGTAGTAACCAAAGGCCCTTTCTCACGGAGATGAAGAGTCTCCACCTTTTATCTGCTCTTCTAAACTTGAATTGAGCACACCCATTTTAAGGGAGTCATTAGAAAATTCCATGAGGTCTGGTTCAGGCTGGGTTCATCTGGAGAAGGATGCGAAATAGCCTCATTATTTTAATCCCCTTTAATTTCCCTACTGACTACTTAGGTATCAGAGGGAAGGCAACACCTCCGAGGCTGGCAACTAGGACACTCTAAAATTAGCCATTGGCAGGTGTGCTTCTCGCCAGCCCCTGGGCTGCGGACTAGTGGTAAGGGTTTGGAAGAGGAACGTCGGTTTTATTTTCGGAAGGAATTTATAGCATGTTTAAGAAGTGCAGCACACCACACCTAGACTCCAAGGTGGGCTTCATCTGATAAATCCGAGTCAACCTGGGCTGCTGGCATAGCCTTAGGCACTCACTGGGCACTAGTAGGTCTAAACTAGGTCAGATGAATGGTGACCTAAAGTGCCCTTTTCTCCTGAATAAAAAAAGAAGGCTGGGGCAGCTAGCACACATTGCACCTGGTGTTAGGTGAGCAGAATCCTGCCCCAAGAGGCTAATTCCTTCGATTTTGCCTGCACTGATAGGTAAAAGCAGACCTAAGCTGCTTAGGACTTGCTCATCATCTGTGTTGAATACTTTTAGCCCTGCACTGAGATGGTTCCAGTATCCAGAGTGTGTGGGAAGTGCCCAAATATATTTGGGAGCCTTACGGTACGCGCAGTGCAGAAGCAGTTATGCCATGCTTGGCTCTTCTAAAGACACGCCGGCTGTTCTGACTACAAGCTATAGCAAACAGTGTGCACAGAAAGGGTGAGGAGTCCGCTGGGCTGAGCCTCCTCTTTACCACTCAGATCCGACACGGCGGTGTTTGCGGGGGTGAGAATTCAGTGTTAAATGTTCAGGAAAAAGAAAACGCTCAGTGGCTGTAGCGTATCAAAGATGGGGGCTCCTCAGAGCTGCAGAACGCATACGATGTGCATGGACTGTGACCAGTGGACACTGCCTTTTTGAAGCAAATTGCGGTTGGCAGCTGTTTTCGTTTCACCCCATGGTAAAAACCGCTACTCTGAAAAGAACCAGTTTG